CTATGCAGTGATGTCAAAGTTCACACACAAGCTGCTTTCATCCATGATAGGCTTTCTCTACTAGTGACAGAATTCTGAGAGGAGCAAACAACTCTCAGTGATAACGGGGTGATCACTTTCTTTTCCTCTTTAGAGTCTATCGGTGCCAAAAGGAAGGGTAAACAAAAGCACACTAGCCAAGCTCAAGGCATGAACGGCTCCCTCAGCCATAACAGCTGCCTTAAGGTTTAAGGATGTGTGCATTTTACGCCAGAATCATCTGGAAAAGTGGAAATGGGTTTAGACTCTTTCCATCATGGAGGAGGGTACTATTTCCCATCAGAGGTACTCCTAAGAAATGTACAGTTGTGGGTTCACACTAGACACAAGGCCATAAACAAGTTAGCGAGGTCATGGTTTAGGGGCTTCACCATCGGAAAACCAAGAGGAGCAATATTTTAAATACAGACAGCAAGTATCAAATAATTCGGTTATTTTCCCAGCAGCAACAAAAAAAGACCAAGTTTAATAGTATTCAAAGTTGGCTGTCCTGGAGGTTGAATTCCCTAAAGCAGAGAGAGGACAGAGGTGAGTGAGGAATGAGTGGCCTCTGCAACCCGAGATGGCCACACTGCAAACTCTTTTCTGCTGCAGAACTTCTGTTTGCTAAGGAACTGCCATTACAGTGGTGTTTACACAGCAATTCCGAAAGGAAATGGCACCAAGGCAAAATCTTGACGCAATGGAAGGCCCTTGGAATCATCCAATTCAGTGGTTTTACAAACCCACCACAAATTGGTGCCTCGGCAGACACTCGAAACCTCTGATCTAACCCCACACCTAAGTGTTCCTTTTCTTCTTCAGGGATTCCTCTAATTTGTGAAGTCACTTTGAAAGAATGTGAGCGTGGGGCAGGAGGGAGGGAGCATGTGGTGACTTGGTCACTGCCACTCTGGTTCCAAGTTCTGTTTCAGGAGGGGACAGGCCAGATTTTGCTCCAGACATAGGTCACTTCCCCAGGGTCGGAAATGAACTTAAAGGCTAAGAAACCCACATTTAAGGTCAAAACCAGGAGCTGGAAGAAGAGGAGAGGAGAGTGGAAGGGGTTAAGCAGCAGCTGGGCAAGAGCAGAAGATGCTCCAGCAGGGACAGAAGCACACCGTGGCCCTCCTTCCCATTTACAGCACATTCCATCTGGAGAGGTCAACCGCAGTATTCATCATGTGGACAGGAAAAAAGGATGTAAAAAAACCATTTCTCTTATCTCACTTTGAAATGTGAAAGTGCTACTATTACATTTAAAATGCATGAAAAACCCCTCTGCTGCCTGAAGAGTAGGAAACCATCCATTAGTTCAATAAATACTTCCAAAGGCAATTTTCGTCATTTTCTTCAAGAATGTTTCAAAAACCAATTTCTTTCAACTGAGACATGCTGAATGATTAATCCCTAGTAACTTCCTACCGTGGCAGTGCTAAACAATGTTTGTTAGAAACACCTTTGGGGCCAGGCGTGGTGGCTCACGCCTGTAATCCCAGCACTCTGGGAGGCTGAGGCAGGCGCATCACGAGGTCAGGAGATCCAGACCATCCTGGCTAACACGGTGAAACCCCGTCTCTACTAAAAATACAAACAAATTAGCTGGGCGTGGTGGCGGGTGCCTGTAGTCCCAGCTACTTGGGAGGCTGAGGCAGGAGAATGGCGTGAACCTGGGAAGCGGAGCTTGCAGTGAGCTGAGACTGCGCCACTGCACTCCAGCCTGGGTGGCAGAGCGAGACTGTCTCAAAAAAAAAAAAAAAAAAAGTAAAACATCTCACTATTTAAATCACAAGGTCTAGCTGGCAATCAGATGGGAGCACATTACATGTGCTGGCCTGTACTGCTTGATGAAGTCTGTATGGACAGAGGCTGCTTACATGCTACACTTATATATATATATACTTTTTTGTAGATGGAGTCTCGCTCTGTCATCCAGGCTTGAGTGCAGTGGCGCAATCTCGGCTCGCTGCAACCTCTGCCTCCTGGGTTGAAGCAATTCTCCTGCCTCAGCCTCCCAAGTAGCTGTGATTACAGGGGCATGCCACCATGCCCGGCTAATTTTTTTGTATTTTTAGTAGAGACAGGGTTTCACGGTGTTGACCAGGCTGGTTTCAAACTCCTGAGCTTAGATAATCCGCCTGCCTCGGCCTCCCGAAGTGCTAGGATTACAGGCGCGAGCCACTGAACCCAGCCTACACTGAGAAGACTTCTGAGGCCTGTTCCTGCAGAGGGAGGGAGCGTCACTGGCTTCTAGCAGGAAAGAGGTAGATGGGGCAGGCATCAGCCATCTGGCCTCTAAAAACATTAGTTCTCATTATCTGGAATATGATTCTATGGGTAAATCTTAGTGAGGAAGCCAACTGAGACAGCCCACTTACTTCTAAGGGACCAGCCCACACGAAAAGACCCAGGCCTCCTACGCTGGCCTCACATGCCCCCACAGGTGTTATCAAGCTCAGAGTCAACTGGACGACCTGCTGTCCCTCAGACAGCTGCAAGTGCCACACCTCACCACACCGGGACAATGTGCCTTTGCATCTGTGTCCTCTGCCCACCCTGGGACCATGAACAGCTCACTCCCTTTGCGAAACTTGGCTGTAACTCCCTCTAGGAAGAATGTTCGGACTTTCCTGTTACACTTTCTCCTGACTGTGATCTCCTGAGGCACTCAGGTTCCACTTTTGATTTCTTCAAATATTTGTTTCTAGCATGGGCCAAGCATTGGAGGTCCAAAAAGGAGCAGCAATTCCCGCCCCTGTCCCAGGCCTTCAGCACAGAGCAGGGAGGTGATCTGCCAATACCAGAAGTTTGAGCAACCTGTCCTATTTGGGCTACATAGCTTGGGTGGTGAACCTGAGCCCGCCCTTTAGAGACTTTGGGAGGTAAGGCAGACCTTTTGGACACACTGAGTTGCAAGAGGTGAAGCAAGGAAAACAGCCGGACTGTGCGGGGCTCGAACAACAAGCCAAGAAGGCTAAGAATAACAGTATTTAGAGAACACTTGCTATGTGCTCTATGTGCTATCTTACTTAATTCTCACAAACCACCACAAGGGGTAGGATGTATATTATTATCTCTACTTCAGAAGAGAGAAAACTGAGGCTTCAGTGGTGAAGACAAATGTGTCTATTCTAGGGACCACACTACCTTATTCTCCCACCCCTGCCCTGGGGTGTGTAATGAGCGACTCTTACGGAAGTCAGCTGCAAGTCTATCCTGCCTATTATACACGCTGTCGTCTTCGTGCAGTAAGGATATTTGATTTGATTTAAATACCATCCAGCTTGCACACTGTGATGGAATAGAGATCAAGAGCTCATGAAGGCAGGGGCAAGTTTTATTTACCTTTATCTCCCAGAACCTAGAAGCGAGGTCAAACAGAAGCGCTCGGGGTAGCAAGAAGGCTCTACAGACATTGAAATGTGAATGCATGCCCAGCCCTTACCAGTTGTGTGACCTTAGGAAATTCATTTGTCCTTTCTGTGCCTTATTTTTTCACCAACCTACTAATGTATGTTCCTCAGTGAAAATTAAAAAAAAATTATATTAAAAAAACTAGGAAGCAATGCGTTTCCATAGAGTTACTTCCCAAGGAACAAGGTCACGCGCTTCAGGGGAGAGCCGATCAAACATCAAACGGAGCATCCCACACAGCCCCTACCCACCGTCCCTAAACCGCAGGAGCTCAAAGTAAACGCGGAAGGGTTAACAAGCAGCTGTCCAGGACGCCGCCCGAAGTGACCGACTCCTCCTGACCCGGTTGGAAGAGTCACCGAAATAACACGAGTGCAGGGTCTCCAGGAGGGCGATAGTTTCTAGGTCACTCCAGCTCAGAGAACAGCAGAGGCTTTTGGACTATAAAGTCAGTCCCGTGACTACAAAGTCACGGCCTCCGTCGCTCAACTAGGAAACCGACGCACCGAGAAGGACGCAGCCGGTCCGAGAGCAGCATGGGGCCCAGATCCTGCCGTCCGGCTCCCCCTGCGCCCCCCGCTTACCTTCCTGAGGGCCCGCGCGCGAGACACCCCGGGCAGCCCCACGTCGTGGCGCGTCTTCCGGCCCAGGATCTGGAACTTCTGCCTGTTGACTTTCACCTCGAATGGATTGGAGTTGGCCTTCGCCGGGCCCCCTCGCGCTCCCGCCGGCGCCCCGGAGGTCTTCCTTCGCGCCCCGACCTTCTTGGCCTTTCCCATGGCGCGCGGACCGCTGCGCCCAAGGCGCCGAGACCCGAAGAGAGACGCGGCGCGCACTACCCCGAGACACGTGCCGGGCAGCGGAACCGCCTCCCGGCCTCGTCTCGCGAGAACAGCGCATCACCTCCGAGCCCGCAAGAGGTAAACGCTGCGGCCGCAGGCTTCTCCTCGGCTCGCTCGCCGACAGGCTCAGCGACTACAACTCCCAGCAGGCCACGCGCCGCGGCCCGCCGTGTACTCTTGGCGCAGGGCCTTCTGGGAGCTGTAGTGCCCTGGGCGCAGCGGCGAGGGGCGCTGCCTCTTCAGCTAAGCCGTTAGCGCCCAGCCCGCCCGGGTGCGGGTCGCGGGCGGCGGCCGCGGCGGCACCCCTGCCAGTGAGCCCCTGTCCGAAGTGGGCCACGGCATTGACTCGGGGCTGCCCGGGGACCTGAGGAGGGAGCTGCGCGCGCGAGGCGAGGGTGATGGGGCCGAGAAGAACCGGGGCGATAGCGCGGCAGCGGTGACAGCTGGGACCCGCCGCGGTCGGGCTGCCCCCTCCCGTCGCCCCGACCGCTCCCCTGCTGGTGAGGGCCGGTGGAGGCGGCGGAGGCGGCGCCCCTGGTGGCAGTGGTGGCGGCGGCGGCGGGGCAGCCCCCGGGATCGTGTCCGGGGCTCGAGGAGTGGGGGGCGCCGGGAGAGCTATGCGCGGGGGCGGCGGCGTCTCCTCCTGTTCCGCCTTCTCAGTCTCTTCCTCTTCAGTCTCATCGGTCTCGCAGAATCCGCCGCCGGCGGCGGCGGCGACGGCGGCGGCGGCGGCGGCGGCGCCAGAACATGGAGCTCGAGAACATCATGGCCAACTCGCTGCTGCTGAAAGCGCGTCAAGGTGGGTGTGCGGCAGGCGCCCCCGACACCCCCCGGAGAACCCCGAATCCCGGGGAACCCTGGCCCCCCTGAAGGAACCTGACATCCCCCAGAGAACCCCGATTTCCCTGGAGAGCCCCAACACCTCCCATTGGGGGAACCCAGATCTGCACGGAGCCAGAGCCGGGGTCTGTGCAGTGTGGTCAGGCTGCCTTGGCCAGGTCCCGAGCTCGCATCTCCTGGCCCAGATGAGAGAAGTCTGCGCTTTGCTCTTCTTAGTCTTGCCCTGTGTCCTTGTGCTGTCCTCTCGGTGTGACCTCGGTGACAGTGTTGCTTCAGGATGGGGCAGGCAGTGTCCTGCTCGTGTTGGACAACCTGTCCCACCAAAAAAGAACGGTGTCTTTATGGTCTTAAGGGGGACAAAGAAGAGCAGCCTGGGAACTACTCTGGGTGAGAACCTTCAGATAATGATTGTAGGGCAATGCTATTTTTAACATAACTGCTTGGTTTTGAGGTTTGATCTGAGGCTTTATGGTGTGTCAAGTGTGCTTTAGCACGACATGGTGACAAATGGACAAGCTGGCAAAAATTCAGCCTTTTATCATTATTAAAGTGAGGCAGAAATTTAAAAATAATAAGTACTGCATTCATTCACTCCAAGAAAAGTAAAAGCCAAGGCCCAGAATGTGGCAAGGCAGGGGTTAAAAAGAAAAACACAACAAGTTTTCTTTTTCTTAGCAAACTCACTTCCAGGACAGTTATAAGATGACGCTGTTCCAGAAGTCAAAACCAAAGGAATAGGCTCCAGACACCCCCCTTCCGGAGCAGGGGTGAAGTTAAAAAAAAAAAAAAAAAAAAAGGACGAATGTCTGTATTTAGCCAGTTTTTGTTTTTTTCTTTCATGGCAGCTACAAGGCCACCAGCTATGCAAGGCCACAAGTTATGCCAAGTCATCAGTTATGCTATAGATTATGTGACCTGTCATTGTATGATTAACTGCCTTTGTTTTGCTTCTGTAAGTTTGCTTATACAAATCCTGCTCAGTCTTTGTTCAATGCTCAACTTTTTGGATGCGAATCCGCTGAGCCCATGCGCACCTTAAAATAAATATTCTCCTGTTTTCACCCATCCTGGTCTCTCTAGTCCTCTGCCTCCTGCCACAAAAGCATCAGTTGGTCCAACCCTTCAGCGGGAGACCCCCGCAATCCTCTCTCTTGGACCTCATGTCTCCCTTGCTTGCCTCTCAAGAGAGCTGGTGACAGAACCTCGGACCTCAAGTCCCCCCATGCCAGCCACAGTAGTTCTTCACACCCCATCACTCTTACGGAATTGCTGATTTCCTCTATTTCCTTGTGTGATGGAGCAGCTCTGCTTGGATTTTGTGCTCCAGGACAGGGTAAATGCCTACTGAAGATGTGACACCAGCCAGCGCTGCATACTTAAAGGACAATCTGGAGCCAAAGGTGGCGGCCACGCTTGTAGTCCCAGCTACTCTGGAAGCTGAGGTGGAAGGCTTGCTTGGGCCCAGGAGAGTCCAGCCTGGGCAAAACAGTAAGACCATCTATCTCTTTTAAAAAGTCTGAAACAAAGACTTCATCTTCTCAGTATTTTTGTGCACCAACTCACACTATTTTGAATAGAACTGAGAATGGGTGGGAAGAGAATGGGATCTTTTTCCCTTAAGACAGTCAGGGAGTCCCAGAGCAGTATGCGTTCTCAGCAGCCATTTTCAGAGGAGCATTTGACTGTGCCTCTTGTCCCTCACTCTGAACTCCAAATTGGTCATGGAAGAGAATCATCCTTCGTGGAAGTCAGATTGACGCTAAACCAGTTTTGTTTTTACACTACCTATCTGCATGTAACTTACAAAAAGGAATTGTACCAAGCCGCCTTCCTTATAATACAGCAGAGATTAGATAATGAGGTAAATGTAAGTGCTCTGTAAATGCTAAATAATATAAAACCAGATTCTGCCACAAAGCCTGGGACCACAGTGATAGTTTGAAAAATGAAAGTTTTGGCCAGGCACAGTGGCTCACAACTGTAATCCCAGCACTTCGGGAGGCCGAGGCGGGCGGATCACGGGGTCAGGAGATCAAGACCGTTCTGGCTAACAAGGTGAAACCCCGTCTCTACTAAATATACAAAAATTAGCCAGGCATGGTGGCGGGCACCTGTAGTCCCAGCTACACGGGAGGCTGAGGCAGGAGAATGGCGTGAACCCGGGAGGTGGAGCTTGCAGTGAGCCAAGATTGTGTCACTGCACTCCAGCCTGGGTGACAGAGTGAGACTTTGTCTTGGGATTAAAAAAAAAAAAGAAAGTTTTAATTTTTTCCCTGAAATATCTCATATGAACTCCGTGGTAGTGTGATTATGAGGTCTGTCCCCATTGAGTGAGAGTATTTGCTCCTGTGGTCAGAAAGGGTCATTACGTACAGCTTGATTAATGGTTAGAGAAGTTGGATATATAATATTTGAAATACATGGGTGCTGAGCGTTGGTTATAATTTAGGGCTTTTTCCCAAGTTGATGACTGGGTTTGTTACTTTCAAGTATCTCCCAGGATGTACTAGGAAGTGTCTTCTTGGTCATATAACTTCATAGACAACTCCTTGTTTAACTTCTCTGGCTCATGTACTAGAAGATTAATCTTTGAAATGAATGAACATAGCACAAGAGTTATATTCTGGTCCTGAGAAGTACAATGTTGATTTAATATTTTTAGTGAGTCCAGTCATTTCCTGGATTTATTTCAAATAGAATCAGTCAGTCTCCATCCCCCCTCCCTCTCTGGTCCTTGCTTGCTATGGTCTGAATGTTTGTGTTCCCCCAAAATTCTTATGTTGAAATCTTCACTACAAAGGTGATGGAATTAGGAGGTGGGGCCTTTGGAAGGTGATTGGGTCATGAGAGTGGAGCCCTCGTGAATGGTGTTAGTGCCTTTATAAAAGAAACTGGAGGGACATCCCTCACTCCTTCCACCATGTGAAGGACACGAAAGAAGGTGCTGGCTATGAATCAGAAACTGGGCCCTCACCAGACACCAAATCTGTTTTGATCTTGAACTTCTTAGCTTCCAGAACTGTGAGAAATAAATTTCTGCAATTTATAAGCTACTCAGTTTATAGTATTTTGTTAGAGCAGCTTGAGCAGACTAAAACAGTCTAAACAGAGATTGTTAGAACCTTTCTCCTTTCAGGAATGTCGGCAGATGATGCTACACTGAAAGCGTTTGTGTGTCACTCTGCCAGGGACATGACGAAAGTGTGAAATGATCATATTGGGCTGGTCTTTTTTGTTTCGTTCTGTTTTGAAACAGAGTCTCACTCTGTTGCCCAGGCTGGAGTGCAGTGGTGCGATCTCAGCTCACTGCAACCTCTGCCTCCTGGGTTCAAGTGATTCTCCTGCCTCAGCCTCCCAAGTAGCTGGGACTACAGGCAAGCACCACCACGCCTGGATAATTTTTGTATTTTTAGTAGAGACAAGTTTTTGCCATGTTGGTCAGGCTGGTCTCGAACTCCTGACCTCAAGTGTTTTGCCCACCTCGGCCTCCCAAAGTTCTGGGATTATAGGCGTGAGCCACTGCACCTGGCCCATATTGGGTTTTTGTTGGTGTTTTGTTTTATTTTTTTCCTTGATGTAATTCATAGGTTTATAGATCATATTGTTAATGCATATGAAAACAATTTTTTTTTTTTTTGACATTGTTTCACTCTTGTTGCCCAGGCTGGAGTGCAATGGTGCAATCGCAATCTTGCAATGTTGGCTCACCACAACCTCTGCCTCCCGGGTTCAAGCAATTCTCCTGCCTCAGTCTCCCAGGTAGCTGGGATTACAGGCATGCACCATTACGCCTGGCTAATTTTGTATTTTTAGTAGAGACAGGTTTCTCCATGTTGGTCAGGCCGGTCTTGAACTCCAGATCACAGGTGATCCGCCCGCCTCGGCCTCCAAAAGTACTGGGATTACAGGCGTGAGCCACTGTGCCCGGTCTGTTTTTTTTTTTGTAATTTAGGATTTTTTTCCCTGTATAATATTGTTTGTTAAGCAACTTATAACTTTTATGTTTTAAATAAGCTTAAATTATGTCACATCATACTTCTGAGGAGACTTTAAACACCATCTTATCTCTTGGAGAAATTGAAAACACATGCAGACAAGAATATGTGATACGTGCATTTAATGTGGGTTTTGGTCTTATGTATTCCAATTCTGTTCCGATTTCAGGCTGCGGTGTTATTTAGCAGTGTCTTTCACACCTGCAGCATGGTTAATATACCTGTTACTATTAATGCTGCCTCTCGCTGAGGCTTCCTCCCTAGAACTTTTGCTAACTTAAGCAAATAGGAAATTTATGGAGAAGATATTGGGTAGCTCAAAGAATCAAAGTAAGGACCTAATAATCAGGGTGGAAAGAACAGGAGCTGAGACCCACTCATTCATTCATTCATTCATTCATTCATTTGGCAGATGTGTGCTCAGAATGTTCCAGGTGCTGTGCCTATAGCAATAAACAACATATTCAGAAATTCCTGCCATTCTGGAGACCACATTCTTATAGGGGAGGCAGTCTTGAGACACATAAATAAGTGGCATATTAGCAAGTGGTGAGTGCCAAGGGAAACTACAGCAGAGACGGGGGTAGGAAGCACCCAGGTGGCATTGGTAGTTGCAGTTTCAGATAGTTTTAGACAGGGAGCTACTGACTGATAATCAGGTCTCAACTGTCACTCCTGTGACACAGCGGATATCTTTTTATTTTATTTATCTGTTTGCCTGTGAATTTCATGATTCTTAGCCTGGGAGAATTTCATGATTCTTATCCTGGGAGACAGCACCAATTGGCTTGCTTGGCTCCGGCTCCCTCCATGCGTCCGTGGCTGGGGGGGAACCAAGCAACTAGACTGACAGTCGCAGCAAGACATACACCGTGGGGGAGAAGTAAGGGAGGGGCTGCAGAAGAAACCAACAAAGGGCCATTGCAAGGGCCTGTGTACGTGGCATAGTAAGCAGGCATCGGCCATGTGCGCTAGGGCCAGTGGGGTAGCTAGGAGAACAAAGAGGAAAGGAGATCAGAGAGATGCCAAAGGTAGAAGACAGGATAGAGGAGCGATTGCAGAGAATCCTCCAAGTTGCCTTTGAAGTTCCCCAGCTGAGGAAATTAAAAGAATGCTCTTTTTCTAGTCTCAAACTCCTGACCTCAAATGATCCACCCGCCTTGGCCTCCCAAAGTGTTGGGATTCCAGGTGTGAGCCACTGCACCTGGCCAAATTTTCTTTTCTTTTCTTTTCTTTCTTTTTTTAGACGGAGTGTCGCTCTTGTTGCCAAGGCTGGAGTGCAATGGCACAATCTCGGCTCACCACAACCTCTGCCTCCTGGGTTCAAGTGATTCTCCTGCCTCAGCCTCCCAAATAGCTGGGATTACAGGCATGTACTACTATGCCTGGCTAATTTTGTATTTTTTTGTATCTCCCTGTTGGTCAGGCTGGTCTCGAACTCCCAGCCTCAGGTGATCCACCTGCTTCAGCCTCCCGTAATGCTGGGATTTACAGGCATGAGCCACGGTGCCCAGCCAATTTTCTTTTTTAAAGACAGGGTCTCACTCTGTTGCCCAGACTGGAGTGCAGGTAGGGCAGTCATAGCTACTGAAGCTTCAAAGCCTTGAACTCAGGGGCCAAGCAATGCTCCTGTCTCAGACTCCCAAGTGGCTGGGACCACAGGTATGCGCTGCCATGCCCAGCTAATTTTGTGTTTTTTGTAGAGCTGGGGTCTCACAGTGTTGCCCAGGCTAGTCTGGAACCCCTGGACTCAAGTGATCCTACCCTCCCACTTCAGCCTCCCAAAGTGCTGGGATTACAGGGTGAACCACTATACCCAGCCTATTAGAATTTTCAACAGTATGTAAGATCAAGTTTTCTAGAAAGAGTTATAAACTAAGTATTTCTTCTTATCTGTCAGATATTTGAAGTAATCTATGTAGTAGTCAGCCAAATTATTTCTCTGCCAACAAAGGCTTACCCCATTCTCCCAAAATAATAATGTCTACCGTCTGTTACCATCATTGTGGTACAGCTAATTTGGGATGCTATCAATCAGCCAGGTTATTAGCAACCAGGTCAGTTTGGTTTTCTTATTTTTTCTACTTTTCTATAATGGGTTTAAATCAGGATTTTTATTTCTTGGTCAGTGAACCAAATATTGGGTTTAGTGGCTTTATGCTACTTTAGGACCAAAAATATCTGTACAACTGATACATAAAAGAATATTCTTGGCCAGGCACAGTGGCTCATGCCTGTAATCCCAGCACTTTGGGAGGCCAAGGCGGGTGGATCACGAGGTCCAGATATCAAGACCATCCTGGCCAACATGATGAAACTCCGTCTCTACTAAAAATACAAAAGTTAGCCGGGCGTGGTGGCGTGCACCTGTAGTCCCAGCTACTTGGGAGGCTGAGGCGGGAGAATCACTTGAACCTGGGAGGTGGAGGTTGCAGTGTGCTGAGATTGTGCCACTGCACTCCAGCCTGGCGACAGAGTAAGACTCCGTCTCAA